ATATATGACATTGGTTGTTAGTTTCTGACAGATTGTCCTTATCAAAGTAACAGACCCTGTAGTGGGCTAACTAACCCAAAAGCCATTCTGTGGTCTCTCACTATAGATGCTAGGGAGCCAGTTACTTCCTCTGTTAAGGGGAAATCTGCTGGTGTCTTAAGCGAGGGATTAATTTGAATCTTCTTAAGGGATAGATGTCAGTGCATATATGACTGCAGAAGTTGTTGGCTATTATTTTCCCTACATACAGTCCTGTTGCCTAGAGCTGTGGCAGTTCTCCTGATCATAGGCAGCCAGCATGAAAACAAAGAGCTGACACTAAGTATGGTCAGACACAAAGCTGGAATGAGCTTGAGTCCTGGGTTGTATTTTTGGCTCACTGACCCAATTCTGAGACTGTTTGTGTCTGAAATTCTTGTAAAATAGACACAAAATGTTTTTATAGCTTAAACCACCATTCATAGAGTTTTCTGTTTACTTTCCACCAGAAGCATTCTTACCAATATACCTCAAGTTAAGGACACTTTTTTTTCAATTCTTAGTTGTATGAGTATTATTAGAACCAGAAATGAATCACATATCTTTTTGAAAATAACTTTCAAATAACATCAGCAAACACTTAAATAGTGCCTAATATATGGAAGACACTGTTTTAAATTTTTACGTTCGTTAATTAATTTAATCTTTAAAACAACCCGATGGGGTAGATAATATTATTGTCCATATCTTAAAGATGAGGAATTTGAGACACAAAGTGATTAAACTGCCTAAGGTCATATAGCTAGTGACAGAGCCAGGATTTGAACTCATACAATTTGGCTCCAGAATCCTGGATCTTAGTCTACTGATAGTACTTTCTCTAGTATTGAAAAATGATGCATGGACTACAGTATATATTTTTCAGTTCTGTTCTTATTTTATTATTACAGTCATGCACCACTTAATGATGGGTATATGTTCTGAGAAATGCAGTGTTAGGCAATTTCTTCATTGTGTGAACATCACAGTGCACTTACATAAACCTAGATGGTCTAGCCTACTACACACCTGGGCTATATGGGAAAGCCTATTGTTCCTAGGCTGGAAGCCTGTATAACATGTTACTGTATAAAACAAAGAGATTAAATCAAACACAAGAGAAAATGATGCCATCAAGAGACACGTTAAACACGAGATGTATGAGGCTGCTGCCTATATAACTGTTTTACAGCCAACTTTTTTTATAAGTAGAAAGAATAAACTCTAAAATAATGATAAAACGCATAGTATAGTAAATGCATAAAGCAGTAATATAGTCATTTATTATCAGCCAGTATTATGTACTGTACATAATTATGTGTTATACTTTTATAATACTGGCAGGGCAGTGGGTCTGTTTATACCAGCATCACCACAAACATGTGAGTAAGGTGTTGTGCTGTGACTTTATGACAGCTACAACGTCACTAGGCGATAGGAATTTTTCAGCTGCATTGTAATCTTATGGGACCATTATATACACAGCCCATCATTGGCCAAACTGTCATCATGAAATGCATAACTGTAGTTGTCTTTATCATAAGAGTGGCCATCAGAGCTATTTGATTAAATTAAGGGCAAGCGAATATAAATTAAGTATTTTAACATGTCACATAATTTATTGTAAAAAGAGCACCAGCAAAATTCAATTGATCAAGCTTCAAAGTAAATATTAGCTTTTTTTACTCAATTGATTCTCTTAAATTAAGTTTGATTTCACAAATTCATTTCTTAGACTTCCTTTTTCTTTTTGGGACACAAGAGAACAGTATCTTTTTCTTAGTTTTCCAAAAGCTAGAATTATAATGAATTAAGGCAATTTTTTCCGTTTCTTTGACATGTCCTGAATTTGGCCACATTTCCTTTTTTTTCCCTACCCTTCATCTTTGATCATGGACAGTGATGCTTTTGTTCTCTGGTATCCAAGAATGTAGCACAGAAACAACCAACAAGAAAAGAAAATAAGAACTTAATACTCCCATCTACTCCTGGGTTTTTATGTTTCATCCTGTTTGTCCTATCTAGACTATGCATAACTCAATATACATGAACAATATTTTAAAACCCTGTTGGCACTCCATAAATAAGAAATGGTAATAGCAGAGCCTCCTGGCAGAGCAGTTGTTTAAGTAAATGTGAACCTAGATTATCTACAGCACAGGGCACAATGGGAATTACTTTTCAGCCTCCAGAAGTCGACAGTAGAAAATTATGTTGATACTCGGTCATCTTTAAAGGCACTTGTTCTGTTTTTTGTCTTTTGTATTTTTTAATGTATTCACTGGCATCTGGCAATGTTTTTGGAAATATACTGAAATCAAAATCACTAAGTAAGAGTTGGTGCAAAAGACAATGTTAGTGGCATGGCTACAGTCTAACCGTCATCATAGGCCCACTCTATTTACCATCACCCAAGGAAGATAAGTTGTTTTTGTGTGTGTACAGGTATAGTGATATTGAATTCATAGACTTATCACCATTATCATCATCGTCATCTTTCTTATCATTATCAAGATGATAATGGTATTACAAATAATCATAATTATCACCGTTCTGTGATATCTTTGTGTATTTGCCACTTAATATAATTCATTTCCTAGCCATCGAAAAACAGTCATTGCTGGATGTGCAATTAAATGTCAAAAATCTATATAATTAGTCTATATTCTGGAAAAAACACTATAATCTCAGTTGCAAATGAATCCATGAATTAACAAATATATCTTTGTAGCCTTTGGTAAATATACGCATAAGAGATTATGTAGATGTTCTATATCTATCATGGAAATATGGGGGTTTATTTTAGCCATACCAGACAGAAAGTCAGAAAACTAGAGATGATGTAGGTAGAGGATTTGTAACATTCCCAGGGACAGAGGCAGGGTATTCATCATGTTCACAGCCACAAAAGAAAATAGAAAGAGTAAGATGCACCATAAAAACGAAAACTGTAGTGAGAAGGAATTGAATAAAGGCAAAGAGATTTAGAGGCTTGAAAGGGTGGCTGGGAACCATTGCTGTGATACAGACTGCAAAGGAACCAAATCAAGAATAACATAAAAATAAGCAGGATGCAAAGTGAGACATTCTGTGGAATTCAGGTAGGGAGTCTGGGTTTGCTGTGTGCGAGGGTGTTTGGAGATTCTCCTGTCCTGTGCTTTCAATTCCGTGCATGCAGGAATTAAAGGGAAAACACAAAGCAGGGCCTGTAGTGGGGGGACCCTGAGGGTGCTGCTTCATTATTATTGTTCCTGAAAGAGTACCAACTTTCCATGCTCTTTAGTTTCTCTCTTGTTTCATAATGGAATATAGATAAATTATCTGTGAGATACTCTCATAGGCCCACTAAGCTTTGGAAAAAAACATTTCCTCTCCTCTGTGTTATAGATTCACGGTGGACCAAGCCCACACTTCTCTGTGTTTAGACCATTGTCATGCACAGCTTCCTGTGTGAGGAAGTCTAAAATTAACTCTTGAGTGCCAAGGACTGGGTTCAAATCCTGACTCTGTATGCTATGAGGAGTGTCAGTTATAGGTTCTGTAAGCTTCTGTTACCTTATCTGTAAATTGGGAAGACAATTGTACGTAACTCAGAGGCCATAAGATATGAGATAAGCACAGTGAATGAAACATTGTGAATGTTTAGCAGCTGATATTATTTCTTTAATATGAACCATCTTACAGCCATCAGCTCAGTCTCTTTCTACCTGTTGTTTTGCTTAATGGCTGAGTATCATACTGATGGGAAAGCTCACTCTGCCCAAACAAATGTTAAGTTTTTTCTGGCCATGATGGGGGCATTTACTTTGTTTGTTGGCTTAGAAATATAAATAATGTTAGTGCATATTTGTGATAATAAAATTACGATGCATCAGGAAATACTACATATTAAAAGGCATTTATTGTTTGGAACTGCTAGAAAAATAATCAGTGTTAACTTACGACTCTAGCTAGCTGAAGTTTGAAGTATTACGTGGTGTGAGTATTCAAGACGCAGAGAGGGAGGGCAGGCGGGGACAGAGAATATGCCTCAGGGACCCTGTTCAGCGTAACTGGATCTTGCTAAAATACTTGAGAGTAAGAGGAGCACACTCAAGAAACGGGTAGTTCACAGGGCGGCATGCAGCGTTGTTTGTGCTGACAGCTTAAATGGAGTATTATCTCTTCACTGTTCTTTAGTTCATCAAGTTAATAAAACAAATGCCTACTGATATGGCTTCTGTGGATACTACCACTTAATTTGAAAGACATTTATTAAGAGAGTTGTTTTGGGATAGAAAGAGCAAGAGATATTTCTTAAAGGTTAGGATCATGTCTCTTCCTTATATGGATTGTGTATCATGGTCTTTTACAACTGCAATAGTGTAGTTTTTTAACTCATGAAAAAATGAAATTATTATATCTTTATTGATTTCAGAGAGAGGAAGAGAGAGGGAGAGAGAGAGAAACATCAATGATGAGACAGTCATCATTGATTGGCTGCCTCCTGCACGCCCCCCACTGGGAATCAAGACCACAACCAAGGCATGTGACCTGACTGGGAATCAAACCGAGATCTCCTGGATCCTAGGTCCATGCTCAACTGCTGAGCCACACCCCGCCAGGCTCATCAATATTTTCTTTCTTCATCTTAGCTACATTGAATAAAAACATAACCAAAGAAAGACAGTTACCAAATCCCTAATGCCTACTGTTTACTTTTATTTTTTTTTTTAACAGAAATACTCACAATGAAATCAGAACATAGATATGTCACCCAGAAATCTTTCAGCAGTATCTGTAGCTTTTCAAACTATATATCAATGTAAAAGGGCTTGGATTATTTTTAACATATCTGAAGGAATATGAAGAATTTCTTTACCTTAAGCAAATTATATAAATGTGATTAAATGTGATTTTGTGGGTTTTCTTGGTTGGGATGTTCTCAATGGCCTCAAGAACAATCTGACTTTCTTATTCATCCTTTTGAAATAAAATGACAGGCATTTTGAGAGGAGAGGCAGGCTGCCTGTTCAGAAGCACCATCCCACCCATCAGGAGTAGCACCCAAAATAAGGATCCCAGAAATTCCATACAAACAAGGACATGAAAAATGAAGCCCGTGCTGTGGAGTCATGATCTGGACCCAGGGAGAAATGGAAGAAGCCCTCAATAAAAAAAAAGTAAGTCTATAATTTATAACACGTGTTCTTTCCTGTCTTCTTTGCTCAGTTTTAAATGCTATTAGAGTTCATTCAACTGCTCTTCTCCTCCAAAGCTGAATCACCACTAATGTTTACTAAAGAAAAGTAGATTCTAGCTCTTGTTCTTAAGAAAGATGCTTAAGGTTTTTTTTCTCAGTTTCAGTGAAAAAAGTAATTTTTGAAATGGAGACACTAGGTGGCTTAAATTGCCATGGGGTCTTGCTCTTCAACTTACTGGCTATTTGATCTTGGTCACTTTTTAAATATCTCTCCACTACAGTTTCCTCATCTGTAAAACTGAAATAATAATAGTACCCATAAGCATTTGATACTTGTTAGATATTAATATAAGTATTGCTTTAAATGGATATCCTGGAGTAGCCTTTCTACCTGATGACTTTTGGGTATAAAATGCCTATGTCTGATAGGTAAAGGACAGTGACATTAACATTGAGCATTACTGTGGGGCCTGGGATTGAGCTAGGTGCTGAGAAAAGTGAAAATATGGTCCTCACTTAAAATTTAGTTTTGTGCAATCCCATACTGTGGAGTATGAAAAAATAAAGATGTTTATTGCCTACTTGAAATTAGTAGTTGGAATTGATAGCTTCCCTCTTTTGAACTAGTGCACTGATTATGAAGTAGAAGTCATCACAAGTCACCACTAACATGGTTACCTTTCTAGAACAGGACTTGGTTCTTAAATTGAAGGATAACCCATGCCTATTTATAGAACAATGAAAACAGCTGGCTTGCACTGTGTCTCTGCGCTAACCGAACATGGCCTCTCAGAAAGTTTCAAGGAAATTAAGTCTTATAGAGGAGTAGGCTAAGTTAATCTATGACCCACCAAAAGCAAAAAAGAAGTTTTCTTCTCTAACTCCAGCAGAAAAGTTCTGGGATAGAATGTTTCCTTCTACTTTTATGATATGCCTGTCCCTGAACAAGTCATCAAACATAGGGGGATAGAGTTCTCACTGCCTGGCTTGTGATATCATGGGGAGTGTGAACACTGTCTGACAGCCCCCAAGACTGCCTGGTTTGGGGGAGGTTGCTTCTTTGAAGGCAGACCACTCATGCCTGTTTGCATAAGCTTGTAAAGTATAGAGACATTCTCCTGTTTGATCACTAAGTGGAGACAGGGGAGCTGACTTAAAGATAATTGCTGCAGTTTAGGTAAAACCACTGAGGACAATGGCTAGGGAGAAAGAGGGGCTTGGTAAAGAGAAATCTGATGGTAGGATGTAGTGTCTATAGAAATGATTGACTCTTTGGATGCAGAAGGTCAATGAACTAGAGGGAGAAATCCAGGGTGGCCTCCAGATATCCAGCTTGAGTGATTTGGAGGGTGATGGTGACATTCCTACTGAAAAGGGGGACAGGAAGAGAAGTTGAGGCAGAAAAGAAGGTAATGAATTTAATTTTGGACATGTTGAGTTGTGGAAAATAATGATGAGTTGGAAAAACATAAGTAAAGCTAACTTGTAAAGATTTTAAAATACTAGATTCTTCCAAAAAATCGAAGATTTACGTAATTGAAAACATTTACAGAAGGAAAAGAAAGAAGAGAAAGAAGGGTTCAGTAACTGAGTTTCTTCTGGCAAAATAAACTCCTTGTGCACTCTGTTATATTTGGGCAACTGAGGCAGCCTTTGCCTTCTATTTAGAATATTTTCATTCCACTGCATTTTGTTATTGCTAAGGAAAAGCCTTTAAAGAATATGACTCATCTCATTTAAAAATAATCCATAGAACAAAGTATGTATAATGATAAATATTTTGATATGGTCCCTCCTTCCTAAAATATTTTCAGTTATTATAAATAGTTTTTATTACAAAAATAGCCTAACAATACAGAAAAAGAGTCACTACCTTGGGATAGCCGTGATTAGTGTTTTGATTCCTCTCTCTCTCTCTCTTTCTCTCTTTCTCTCTCTCATATAAACACACACATGCACACACATTTATTTCAATGAGGTCTTATCACATATGCTCTTTTTTTATCATGGAGATCCCTATATTTTTAAACTGCCTTATTACTTATATTTTTTCTTTGTCTCCTTCCTTTATTTTCTTTATTTTCTCTCCAAAATAACTTATATTTATTTTATGTATGTATATACACATATATTTAGTAAATTACATATACACATATTTTATGTGCTGCATGCATACAAAACTATGGAGGAATTGGTCATTGTTTTAAAGTTATTTTTATTTTATTTATTTATTTATTTATTTATTTATTTATTTATTTATTATTTATTTTTTCAAGACAAAGAAAGAATCTTTTTTTTTTTTTGTTTCTTTATCTATATTGTTGAAAATATTACAGATGTCCCCTTTTTATCCCCATTGATCCCCTCCACCCCGCATCCATCCCACCCCCAGGCTTTCACCATACCAATGTCTGTGTCCATGGGTTATGCTTATAAACATATAAGTTCTTTGATTTATCTCTCCCCACCCACTCTCTTCTCCCCACCTTCCCTCTGAGGTCCCTCAGTCTGTTCCATGCTTTTATGTCTCTGGATCCATTTTGTTCATCAGTTATTTTGTTTATTATATTTTACATGTAAGTGAGATCATGTGGTACTTGTCTTTCTCTGACTGGCTTATTTCACTTAGCATAATACTTTCTAGTTCCCTCCATGCTGTCCCAAAGGGTAAGAAATCCTTTTCTACAGCTGCATAGTATTCCATGGTGTAAATGTGTCACAGCTTTTTTATCCACTCATCTACTGATGGGCACTTGGGCTGTTTCCAGATCTTAGCTATTGTAAATTGTGCTGCTATGGACATAGGGGGCATAAATTCTTTGTGATTGGTGTTTCGTGTTCCTTAGGATGTATTCCTAGAAGTGAGATCACTGGGTCAAATGGCAGGTCAAGTTTTAATCTTTGAGGAAACTCCATAGTGCTTTCTATAGTGGCTGCACCAGTCTGCATTCCCACCAGCAGTGTACTAGGGTTCCCTTTTCTCCACACCCTCGCCAGCACTTGTAGTTTGTTGATTTGTTGATGGAGCCGTTCTGACAGTTGTGAGGTGATACCTCATTGTGGTTTTAATTTGCATCTCTTTGATGGTTAGCAACGTTGAGCATTTTTTTATATGTCTCTTAGCCATCTGTATGTCCTTTTTGGAGAAGTGTCTATTTAGGTCCTTTGCCCATTTTTTAATTGGATTGTTTGTGCTCCTTTTGTTGTGTGAGTTCCTTAAATATTTTGGGTTATAACCCTTTATCAGATGTGTCATTGGCAAATATGTTCTCCCATACAGTGGGCTCCCTTTTCATTTTGTTGATGGTTTCTTTTGTTGTGCAGAAGCTTTTTATTTTGATGCAGTCTCATTTGTTTATTTTCTCCTTAGTTTCTCTTGCTGTAGGAGATGTATCAGCAAACATATAGCTATGAGAGATGTCCAAGATTTTGCTGCCTATGTTTTCCTCTAGGATTTTTATGGTTTCATGTCTTACATTTAAGTCTTTTATCCCTTTTGAATTTACTTCTGTGCATGGTATAAGTGGGTGGTCTAGTTTTATTTTTTTTGCATGTACCTGTCTAATTTTCCCAACACCATTTATTGAAGAGACTGTCTCTTCTCCATTGTATGCTCTTGCCTCCTCTGTCAAATATTAACTGACCGTAATGGCATGGGTCAATTTCTGGGTTCGCTGTTCTGTTCCACTAATCTACATGTCTGTTCTTGTGCCAGTACCAGGTTGTTTTAATTACAATTGCTTTGTAGTATAACTTGATATCTGGTATTGTAATTCCTCCAACTTTGTTCTTCTTTCTCAAGATTGCCATGGCTATTTGGGGTGGTTTTTGGTCCATATAAAATTTTGAAGTGTTTATTCAAGGTCTGTGAAATATGCTGTTGGTATTTTAATAGAGATTGCATTGAATTTATAGGTTGCTTTGGGTAGCATGGACATTTTAATGATGTTAACTCTTCCAGTCCATGAACATTGTATATTTTTCCATTTGTTTATATCTCCCTCTATTTCTTGTTTCAGCGTCCTGTAGTTTTCCGAGTAAAGGTCTTTTACATCTTTGGTTAAGTTTATTCCTAGGTATCTTATTTTTTTTAGTTGCAATGGTAAATGGGAATTTTTTTTAGTTTCTCTTTCTGAGAGTTCATTATTGGTGTATAAAAAAAATGCCATTGATTTCTGGGTGTTAATTTTGTATCGTGTTACCTTGCTGAATTCATTTATTAAATCTCATAGTTTTTTGGTGGAGTCTTAGGGTTCTCTATGTACTATATCATGTCATTTGCAAATAATGACAGTTTTGTTTCCTCCTTTCCAATTTGGATGCCTTTTATGTTTTCTTCTTTTCTGATCACTGTGGCTATGACTTCCAGTACTATGTTGAATAAGAGTGGTGAAAGTAGACACCCCTGAATGTTCCTGTTCTTACAGGAAATGGTTTTAATTTTTGCCCATTGAGTATGATGTTGGCTGTAGGTGTGTCATATATGGCCTTTATTATGTTGAGGTATGATTTTTCTATTTCCACTTTGCTGAGAGTTTTTATCAAAAATAGATGTTGGATTTNTTTTCTATTTCCACTTTGCTGAGAGTTTTTATCAAAAATAGATGTTGGATTTTATTGAATGCTTTTCTGCATCTATTGATATGATCATGTGATTTTTGTCTTTCAATATGTTTATGTGATGTATCACATTTATTGATTTGTGAATATTGTACCAGCCTTGCATCCCCGGAATAAATCCCACTTGGCCATGTTGTATGATCTTTTTAATATATTGCTGGATCCTATTTGCTAATATTCTGTTGAGGATTTTAGCATCTATGTTCATCAGGGATATTGACTTGTAATTCTCTTTCTTTGTAGTGTCTTTATCTGGTTTTGGAATTAGGCTAATGCTGGCCTCATAAAAAGAATTTGGAAGTGTTCCTTCCTCTTGGATTTTTTGGAATAGTTTCAGGAGGATAGGTGTTAATTCTTCTT